CATACTCATGAACCCGGACTTACACGTTCTCGTTACTACAAGTCACGATTTTTTTTCTAAAAAAACCGTGACACTATATGTGGTCATGCGGTGTAAGCACTTTTTACCCTGAATGCTTAGTACCTCGTCCATTTTTGTTAGATGATCGTCAAACAATTTCCTCGCAATCCCTTAAAAGGAAATTTGCATTCGGCTTTTTCTTATATCTTCTAGCTAGTCCTTCTAGAACGATAATCGCTTCATGTCTGCTCTAATGTCAAAAAAAAAATGCATGTCTGACTACATAGTAAATTTTTTTTTAAAATATTAAACATAATCGATCCCATTCCAATCCAAATACTAACTCTAAAAACAAACTACTACTGTATACTTAATTCTAAATTCTAACTTGACCATTGTAAACCCTCCATAACGCGAATGACTTTACGTGACTGGAATTTATATACTGTATGCTATAACGCCTAAGAATTTATGAAAATAGCTGTTGATTTTTTCCATATCTTTCGGCCTCGCTTCGTTCTGTCTCTTTCCAAACCTAGCTATATACGATCCACTGTTGACAAAGATGAAGCCTTATTAATAGAGTATGAATTCGTTTTATCATATTTTTTTACGTTATAATATCATGAACAATTCTTTTCTATTATTCTCAGCCTTGTTGCAAATTCACTTAAGTAATAATTTTGGCAAGGTAAGTACTCCATATGAATCATACACAAGTAAAATTATATTCGATAGGGTTACGGATTTTGAAATCAATAGAGTTAACCTAATAATTTCATACTGATATTGATATTGGAATTTGACAATAATCGGGTAGCTCTATTGACTCCTGATGATCTCTTTTGACGCCAATATTCGTAAGTAATATGGAGTCAGTAGGGTCAAATTTTGTAGTAATCAGGTACCCTATTGACTCCTTATTAAATATCATTTTACTTGTGATATATTCAAACTTATTATTTATAATTACTTTGAACCCGGCAATACCTGCCTGTTACTGGTTTGACACAACTAATTGTGCAGCTATTTACAAAGAGAAAATTTATGTGACTACGTATTATATTTTATATACACATTTATAAATTATCAGATTCATCTGACTTCATAGCAATTCTAGCGACAACGTCTGCGTAAAGGCCAACAAAATCAAATAAATCTTTTCCTGCCACAATAATGCAGTTGTCTGGAATATTTTGTATATCCTCTTCTTCGATTTTTTTTTGGTGTGACAAGCGCAAATCGGCTGCATCCAGTGGCACTGGCCTTTTTTTCTTCTTCAAGAATTATATCAACACCAATTTTCCCCCTTGAACTTGTATGGATTGGCTGCCCGGATTCCAGTGCTAAACTAAACTTATATTGTTCATCTGCGTGTGGTGTAATTGCATCCGCAGATTTTGTTCTTCTGGCGAGAAGGACAAGATATCTACCTGATGTGACATCAATTTCTTTATATCCTTCTTTATTTGAGCTAATCACTGGAAGCTTTTGCCTATCTAATAATCCGGGTTTGATAAAACCATCATTTGTTTTAGGTATCAGGCTTGCGTGGACGTGGTATTCAATTGATTGTTGAACATCAATCCTCGAGTTTAAAACGTCATCTAAGCCTCTAACATGTCCACCATAAATATCGCGAATTGTGATAGGAAGGCCCGTACGAAATACAAGTGTATAGGTGACATGATGCATGTGAAGGATAAATTGAGGAAATGTCTCCTCAGTTAACAAATCAAACGGATTCAGCAGATTATCATTAAAGATGTCAAATGATTTCAAATAATCTGCTAATATTGATATGAGAACTAATGGTGCCCTTGGGATGAACAGTTTACCAGACTGTTCAAGAAAAATGAGGTCACTAGTTTCAAAATCATCAATAGTAGTAGAATCGTCGAATTTGTCATCTTTTTTAAGGGGCTTCTGTATATGTATATAAAATAGTAATTTTAAAATATTATCCTCGCTCTGTAAGCTTCTCAACCAATCATTTTCGGAGTATTTTTCTTTAATGGAAGCTCGCAAAAATCTCCAAAATGTATTCGCCGTTTGATAGTTTTCAAATGCATTTAAATTTGCATTTTTCATATTTGTAATCACTTTAGTTGCAACTTCAATGACGGAGGGAATTCCTCTTATTGAATTCACTATAGAACGATATATGTTGCCTGAAACATTATAATTATCTTCATTTGCAAAATGCCCAATAAAACGGTCAAATAATAGCATGGAGTCTTTAAAATCCATGGGCGACAAGTGAAAGATTTGTAGTCCTATATTGCGACGTAGATATTTTGCAGCTATTGTCATCTCCCAATTCGGCAATTTTAGATGGACTAGTATCGGTGCATGATGCAATTATTGATGTTCCTTTTGATAAAAGACTGGACACGATATGAAGCAGTGTAACCGTCCAGTAATTTGCACTTTGGAATTCATCAATTTGTAAGATTAAAGATAAGGATTCCGAATCCTTTAAATTCTTCTCCTTACGAATTAAATTAATGACATTATCATAATCATCAATACATCTGGCGAGTTCCACGCTTTTGTATAAAAATTAGTGATTGGACCCGTTCAACCTAAGGATGGCTCCGAAAGTGGGTACTTTCGGTACCTACCGAAATCGAAAGTCTACCGAAAGTACTTTCGAACAGG